CATTTGGAAAGCCGTAGCTGTTAGATTTTTCAGAACAAAACTGTTTTGCTCTTTTGAGAGAAAGTGGAGGGGTGGGCATTTCAAAAAGAAAAAGAAATTCAGAAGCCCCTAAACCTCTCTGAAAATCCTGACTTTGGATTTGGATTCTGTAGAGACCAAGTTCCCCCTCCCACCCCACAAAGCTATCAGACAGCAACTCAGATGAGCAAATATTAGCAGTACACACAGCTTTGCTGCCACTGGATCTGGACATGCAAGAAAACCAGACTCACATCAAGGTTTCAATCTGTTTTAACCGTACACTCAGACCCTGGTTCTCCCAACACCTCTGCAAGCATCTCAAGGGGACACAGCCTGGTTTTACCCCAATATTTCTGAATTTCAGCATAAAAGCAAGGAGAAGCTCTTGAAGGGAAGGTTTAAAGCAAACCCAGGGAACAGCACCTTGCATGTACTCACCCCAGGCTTTTCAGTTTTCTTTTTGCATGCTTTTTCTCCAAGGCTCAGAAGCTCACATTTGGCTTTCAAACAGAGATCCCACAGACTATGATTTCAAGAGGACTGCTTCAGGAAGCAGGGAGGAAAGTCCTACCAGGCTGTTTTTTGTGGCTGACTGAGCAGGACCCCCCTGCCACAGAGATGAAGGCCCCCTCGGAGAATATCTCTCCAGGTAGACAGCAGGTAATTGATCCTGCTCATGCGAACAACATCTTGTCATTTTTCAAACACTTCAAGGAAAGAAGGTGAATATCTTTGGTGCCAGGAGTCTGGAGAATACACAAAATCACTACCATGGCAGGGTAGGAAGAACAGCTCTCATCCTTGTACATCCAGCTGGCAAAACACTGAAATAAGAGACCCAGAGCAGATGCACTGGTGCTGAAGTGGTGCACAAGTAAGTGTCCTCTGCATTTGTTGCTGTATTTCAGCAAAATAAAAAAATAAAAATTTTTTTAAAAAAAAAAACAGGTCTTGGGAACCTCCTCAGCTGATGCAGAATCATTCAAGTGGCCTCCAGTTGTGTTCGGGGCTGCAACACATCTTGAAAGAACCTATCAGTCCATTGCAAAGCCAAAAAATTCACACCTCAAAAACCAGCAAGAGCCAAGCTAGCTATGGGGGAAAAGCTCACCCCATCCCGATGCCAGTGAGGGCACCAAACGCCGTCTTGCTCTCTTCTTTCTTGGCGAGAGAGCAGCAGAGCCCTTTCCTCCAACAAAGCAGGTATTTCAAACACAAAGGACACGGTCCCATCAAAGGTAGGTCAAGTCTTTGGCATAAACCACTCAACGGTGCCTTAGATCAGGCGGCAGATGCAGCATACAAAATTAACCACGTTTGCTCAAAGCCTGCGCTCGCAGGTGAACCAAAGGGACCCCAGCAGACGGGTAACAGAGCACAGCCAGGCAGCTAAATAGGACTTAAAAGCTTTTGAAGCTGCAAACACTGGAATGAACTGGGGCATGAAATTAATTTTAACTGCACTGAATAGGAGACAGGCCATAAAACTCCATGAAAATAAGAGACTGGTAACATTTTAGTAAGAGTAGAAAATCTTCCCGTTAACTCCCCAGTCAGCTCTATTAGCATAAGTGACTCATCTCAACTGAAAAGCAAAGCAAACAAGCAGGAAGAATTAAACTAGTGTTGCAAGGCGGAGAGTATCACTGGAGAGAAATCGAGGAATCCTGGCTTTCTGATATTCAAATGCCTTCCCACCGACACTTGCAAACATTCAACTGAGAAAAAAAATCCACTCTAGGAAACGCACAAAAAAAAATGAGAAAGATACTGAAGCCTCACACCTTGGTGCCCAGGTATGAAGCTCCAAAACAGCTTCATGCAGGAGCAGTTCTTTGTTAGCCCAACAGAGCCAGGACGCAATGAGCCTTTGTGGACAGAATCACCACTTAGATGATTTTCCAGCAAGCTGCCAAAAGGCTTTTTCATGGCTCAATCTGCATAAGGTGAAGTTGTTCAGAAGAATCTGCATCCAATTACACCTTGGCAAAATATAACCTGTGGTGTCCTGGCACTTGTCCTTCTGCTGCTCTAATGCATCTGGCTGATGTCTCCCAACACCCCGAGGATTTACTCCATCTCCTATCGAAACAGCCACCTCCAGGCTACAGAGCAGAAGCTGCTCTTCTGGAGGCCACAAACATACTAAGAACAAGGAAAGAATAAAAAATTTCTTCAAATGCAGCCTGTGGAGAAGTTGTAAGTAGGATCTGAACATCTAAGCATGACTTGGTCAAAACAGAGAAGTTTAATACCTTTTCCTCTGGTCAAAGGACCCTGAATTATTTGCTTGGAAGAATCACTGAAATCTTGATTTTGTGTCTGCTTCCTAAGCAGTTAAATGTCCTTTAATGTGCAGCGGGGACACAAGAGATGGGAGAAGAGGACACGCTGATTTCTCTGCACGTCCATCAACAAGTAGCAAAGTGCAATTCAGACCCCAGGACCTCTGAGACAGGCCCAGTTCAAAAGCAGCAAACATCTGGAGCCCAGATCGCTCAAGGGCCTTTCACTGACCTAGATCCGTAAATGCGCTCGGCTGGCATCAATAACCAGCTGAAGGCAGCTAATTGCGAGGTTTCTGGAGGGAGGAGACGGAGGCTTTTCATTAGAACGTGTGGTTTCCTTCCCATATTTTTGCAGCATTAATCACAGTGAACGTTAACCCCAAGCCTGCCTGCTCCAGCCTCTCCTTGGTCAATCACTGCCACCGCTACAGCCGCACGGGAGGACTGCCCAGGGCTGGGATCACCCTACGGATGCCTGCAAAGGAAGGGATGGAGAGGAGCTCCTGCTCTGAGGGCAAGGGAAGCTGGTTTGATGGGGCTTCACGTCTCTATCAGTTTCACTCCTGACCTGAACAGTCAGTTCCCTCTCATTTGCACCCGTCTTTCAAGCAGCAACCAAGGACAGGAAATCGTTTAAATCACAGCAAAATGCGATCACAAAACCCACAAATACTGGCAGGGGAATGGAGAGTGGGTGAAGTATCTGGATCTACTTTTAACTAGTTCTTTCAAGGACAAAACTAGCTATCAGATTGACATTGCCACCTTCAGCACCGGCTTGTGGTGGTCATGGAGCCCTTCAAGAGAAGAGCAGACCCCAAGAGACAGTGACTGCCACATGCCATCAGTGCCAGGGGTGAGTCACAACCACCAACGCAGAGAGCACGTCCTTGGGCCACCACTTGATGCTGTACAAGGTGGTTTAAGAGCCGCCAACACCCTGAACTGACAGCAACACAGACTTCCAAAAGCGGGGGCTGCAAGCCCACACGGAGCACAGACCCTCTGCCAAGCAACATCGCGTCCCCAGGGGTATAATCGTCACCAACTTCATTAGTCCTGCGTTGAGTCAGTGAGCTGGAGGGGATGGCTCTAGTTCTGTTTGCTTTTTGTACATCTTTGCAGCTAGAAAAGCACACCTGAGAGGTGTGGGCTGGGGGAGGCAGCCAGCGTGGAGGGCACAGGTCTGCCCACTCCTCAGAGCTGCCTTTGCAGGCTGCGTGTCCACCACAAACAACAGCCAGAGGGATGAAGTGAGAGGAGACCCAGGACAAAGCACACGCGTGTCAAAATCCTGGGGGGTCCTTGCTCAAGACTTGTGGCAAAGTCTGCCAAGCTCAAACGACCAGGGGTAAATGCATCATCAACACGAGGCAAAAAGAAATGTCTGGAAGCAAAAAGCTATCGGGATTTCTCAGCTGTAGGAAAAACAATCATTTCCCACTGACTTCTCCATCTGCTTGCCCTCTCCACCCACCTCCAGGAGATGATGCTCTCCTGTCCCAGCAGCTCATGGCACAGCAGCACCTTGGGTTAATTCACAGCACCCAGGCCAAGGCCGAGGACCCAAACACAACCTCGCATTAGGGCGCCAGTGCCTACGCTGGCAGTGAGGGGACCCCCTGAAGGAAGCCAAGGGCTCGGGGTGACACTGGGGTTTGGATGTTTTACAATGAGCACATTGCCTGGATGACACAGGAAGCCTTGGGTGGAGCAGGAACCGAGCGGGGCCGAGCAGTGAGGAGCTGGGTCACGTCACCAAACCCTCCTCTTCCCCACAGCCCTTGGGGACAGGCAGCACCTAAACACCTCCAGTACCTACCACACTCCCCTGCAGTGGAGCAGAACATCAGAGGC